TTAATATATATATTTTTTTTACCATGGCCCATAAAATTTTTACATTACTTTGTTGTTTCCCAATTTAAAAAAAAGAAGGAATATGATCATGATCAATATTCTGTCTTTTTTGAATAAAATTGTCCTTTAATAAAATATCAAATTTATATTTTATATATATTTTCTTGATTACTTATTTTAGTCTGGGGATTTTTCTTTGAGATTATAAATCTTATCTCTTGTTATAAAAATAATAATAATTTTATCTACATTCTTCTTAATGAGATGTTTCTTTTAATTGTTTTCATTCAATGCCATGTGCATAATCTACTATATGAAGATCGTCTAATTAATTTGCGCATTTATTCATTCAATAATGTTTACATTTGGTGTGACTATCGTCCGCCAGGACTGACTAATCTGCCTACATTGATACACCTTAAAACCTTATAAACAGGAACGGAGGGTTGAAAAACTCGGTTTTTTTTAAATCTGTAAAAATGAAATTATTACTCTCTTTAATTGGCACTGAACGAGACCAATTAAACAAAGCCCCAAAAATAGAGATTCTATTATAAATATCCAAAAAATTAATGACACCATCAAGAAAAATAGAACAACCTTTTTAATTATCAAAAGATAATCTTTGTTTTATAAGAGATAAAAAATAATAATTTTAACTATTTTTGAATGCATTTTCCGCTCGGGTGAAAGTATAAATTCTTGTTTCTATCGCTAGAAAAAAAATAATTATTTGAAATAATCTTTCAAATTCGAGGTAATTTGAAAATTAATTATAATTATCGTACAAAAGTTATTAAATTTAAAGGAAAAGATATTTCCTTATAGTTTTTTTTTAAAATAGGAATATCTCTTAAATTAAGTTTGGATGAAAATATAATTAAATTTGAACTGCTTGATTATCCTATTTCTATTGATCATTTAAGCTAGCTGATATGAGCAACATATATAATGAATGCCCTGGCAAATTTTAAGCAGTTAAAAATATTATAGATGGCGGTTGCTTGCTGTAATATTTTCCCTAATCTTTTTCATCTACCATGAAATCCTATCGCCTTTTATTGTAAAAAATAAAAGTATGTGCAGGGCCGTTATTACAGGAGAAGTTGTCATTTAGTGACCATTCTCTCAAAATCCTTTGCCTCCCCTCCTCCCTTCTAAATTTCTTAGAATATTTTAAACAATGACGTCGTTAGCTTCTATTACATAGGTTGCTCAAAATATACTAATTGGTTTTTATTTGGACTAATCAAAATTCTATGTATTTAAGATATCGATCAAAATAAGAGTTCAACATTTTATTTTATTATAATTAATATATAAAATACAATTGTATCATTTTAAATAAAATAAATAAATAATATAATTATTGTCCTCAATTTTAATATAATGAAACTGGGTATTCCGGAATATGTCTTTTTTTCTTGAAATCAAAGAACGAAGGCCCACATGAATAAGGACTATTTACCCTCGTAGGCTTGCCGAATATAGGCGAGCCCATTTTAAAATGCCAAATTTTTTTATGGCGCGTCTAGCATGCTTTTGCATACCCCCAACGATCCCGCTTGTGTATAGATATACTCATTTTGTATAAGTTAGATTTTCACATCTATACTATGATGATAAAGTGCTACTACCTGCCATTATCCACCTTATTTTTAAGATGAATTGTCCTTATATAAGTTAAACAGGATAGAAAGGGAAATTTGGTAGGCTAATGGTAACATTGAGCAATCTTATACCAAACATAAATAGCCAATATAAAAAGAACGCCATCTTACTATAGAGAAAAAAGGTTTTTTAAAAATAAAATATAATAAAAAACTCCTATAAGCTTTTTTTTTAATCTAAAAATATCCATATAAGTATATTTGATAGTTTTTATTATATTAATTTATATATATAATTAAATATTGCATTCCCCTCAAGCAGGTGCTGAGCGATTATTTAATAAGGCAAAGCTTATACTTTCTGATCGTCACTCACTTGGAAATAGTAATATAGAGAGGATATTATAATTAAAAGGAAACTAAGACATATTTTTCTACCAATATTTTTGAAATGTTTATTTATGGACATAGATTTAAAAATATAAAAAAAATTCTAAATTAGCGTGAAAGTAGCGACGCTACTTTTTTAAATGATAGCTAATAGCTTGCTACTTTTTTGTCGTTAGCGGTAGCACGCTACTTACAAAAGTAGCACTTAACAACACTGGTTTAGAGTTAATATAAAAAAAATAATACTAATTATAATTCGATACAGATACATATCATTAAATATTTCACCGATATGATTAAATATTCCGAAATTAATACAAAATCCATTCGATAAATGATACCTATCCTATATTTCATTGATTTCTATCTACCATCAGTTTTTGAACCAATGTCTATGCAAAAAAAAACAACTGTAAGAAACTATCGATAAAACAATGGTGCATCATTACTAATGAATGATTTACTCTTCTTTTTCTGTTTTGTCATATTCTCCAAAAGTTAATCATCTCATTTGAAATATGGGCGTTCATGGCCGAATGTGACTCGTTAAATATTTTATAATCATTTTCGTGTAACAAAAAAAAACAATGAAATAACATTTTTTAAGCTACTTTTTCTTTTCAAATTACAAATAAATTCAATTTTGATTCTTTTTTTTATCCATTTATTTATATCAGAAAATTATGTATAAACTTAAAAAATATTATATAATATTATGTCAAATTGCGATATAGAATTCGCAGGGATTCGGAACCGCTTTATTTTTGTGTTCTCCATCGCGAATTAGCACTAACTGTAAATGAGGGACGCTGCATTCACAGTTAGCACGGCGGTGAAATATAAAAAATATGCTGTATTTTTGTGTATTTTTATATACTTTGCATCGAATTCGCGCTAACTGTGAATGCATTACACATACTAGAATATTTCCCAATCAGGCTTATCAAATTTAAAAATGGCCCCCAAATATTTTAAAATTGATTCATTCCAAATCCCCATTGATTCCATATTCTTAATACGACATTATGCAATCATAAAATAACCAAAAATTTGATAATATCAGATCAGATCGGTTTTTTTTGAAAATATATTCCCGATCCTATTTTACGATAAATCATGGCCTCGATCTGATTTATCGGTACAACCCTAATTTTATTTTAATCATGCCAACTCTAGTTTTAGGCTGTGAGTCAAGTTTTTTGAAATTTTCGGGCTAGATTTTGTTTTGCTGAAACAAATTTTAGACATGGAATTTCCTATAGGGAAAAACATCAATTTTTATGTTGTTTAAAAAACCCAATTTAGCGAAATCTTGTAACTTGTATATATTTTTCGGTGAAATTAATCTGTAACTAAATGAGATTTTTAACACTAGTTCAAATTAGTGATCTACATCAGGCCTAATTTTTCAAGCCCAGCCCGGCACGAAATTTTTTATATAAAGTTTTGCCCGGCCCGATCCCGAAATTTTTTTAAAAAATTTTGCCGGCCCGACCCTGCCCGAATTTATTTAAATATAAAAATTATAATTACTCAAAATAAAGATATATGTTATTTGGCGTCTACTTTCTATAAATAAAATCACATATTTTTATTTTACATAAAAAATTCAACATAAAATTGTTAAATTTTGATATATTTTAAAAAATTTCTAAAATCCAACCTGATGCCCGTTCGGCCGTACGGGCCGGGCCTACTTTTGTAGATCTCTAGTTCAAATATCAAACAGGGTTAAATTTTAAAAAAAGGGAGGTGTATAAATATATATATATCATTAGCTTTTAGTTTTTCGCCATTTTTTTACAAATTTTACTCATCAATTGCTTATCAAATTGGTTATGTTAGTAGCTGCCAACGTAGTTTTGCATTAGACCTCGTCGCTCAGATGCGTAATTTATCGCCAAACGATAGCAATATCCTTATAATTTAACATGATATATTTTGTAAATTAATTCCGTGCAGACCTCGCTTGCAAGCTTGTATCGTTGTACATTTTTCAAAAGCAAGTAAATAATATGTAAATTATATAATGACTACGCTATGTGATAAAATGAATTACATCGCTATAGATTATAAATTTTTACTTATTATTTCCCTGCTTCTGGAAAATGCCCAGCTATGCGCGCTTATGAAAAGGAGGCCTTGTTCGCAAATTTTTAATGAATTTCGGCTTTCTTTTACGATTTTATTTATTTACACAAATTTTTAAAAAAAATTATTCGTAACTACCGCGTACTTCCGAATTAAATTCTTGTATTTTTTTCAATTTTTATTTACTCCTTTTTTTTGCAAATGACGAATTCAACAAAATAAATTTTTTTACAATTATAATTTAGAATACTTATTTCGCTTTTTCTCTAAAAATTTAAAAATTTTAACGAGGATAAAAAATTATGCCATTTTGAATAAACTCACTATCTCATCTTGAAATTAAAAAAACAAAAACTATTCTAAGTCTTATATAAATCCTCGAAAAATATTCGATTGAGGGATCATTCATATTCACTTCCTTTTTTTTTAAAAAAAAAGGTAAATATAATTTTCAATCTTATTTTTTTAAAAACTCAGTAAATAAATCGCCGGCCGGCGTTCGTTCGCGCATAATTAACTCGACTAAATTATTTATATATTTTTATAAAAAATACGGAATTTATGAATTGTTTTTATTTTTATAAGAAAGGTCTAAAAAAATTTAAAGGGATTCAACTTTAATAAATATAATTAACTTTGGCAATTCAAATGGTTTTTATTACCTTTTTTTTTGTTTGAATTGATTTTCATTCAATCTTCTATCAACAAAAATATGATTGATTTTAATTTTAAGCGTTTTCTTGTTATCATTCTGCATTTATTACATATTATTTATTTATTAATTTTTCTGAATGATAATTTAATTATTATATAACAAATTAACTTAATTTATATTAAAAATAATGAATTTATTATAATTAAATTTTTTTTCCCCACTTTAATTTTTTTCTTCTTCATATAATTGTAGAGCTGTTCGGAAGTCAACACTATAAATATAGTGTCATAATAAAATCGTTGTTATTATTCGTGTATAATATAATCTCGATGGACACTAAAATTTGTAATGGTTTAAATCCGCGTTCGCCCCATATGTTCGCTTCTCCAAGTGCCCTCTCTTCTACAGATAAATTCCTGAATAGAAATGGTACGACGGATTCACCGGATTCTAGCAGCAAGAAGCTTGTTTATCCTAGCAAGATACCCGCGAATATTCAGACGGTAAAAAAATCTATGATACCCGCGGCTCCAAATATATTGGCAAAATTGAATAACGTTAGCTGCCTGCCACACTCGCCTAATTTGAATCGCCTGAACCATATGATGAAACAATCACCTCCAGACCAATCAAATGACATCATTCCTAAAATTTGGAATTATAAGTGTATCTCAAATTCGTTAGTTAACAATCAGCGTGAGTCAGAGGTTGAAGAATACAAACAGGATGATACTAGAAAAAAGGAGTCTATCATTGGAGAGGAAGGAAAGGGTGATCAAAAAGAAGAAATAAGACAACCGCCCCGTTTTGAGACCTACATGATGACCGGCGATTTGATGCTCAATATTGATCCGGTTTTTAGAAAAAGACCACCCACCACCCCCCTAACTCAACCGAAATCTCCGTCTATATCAAAAAGTGCTATGAACACAAGCCACGAATCAAAAAACAACGCCTTTATCAACGGTGACGAGAAAGATATATCATTGAGTAGCCACATATCAACCCGCCTTTCCGACCTTTATGAAGACTATCGGCGGTTGAAACAATCCTCGTCATTTGAGCACCCGTTATCGGATACATTAGATATAGACAAGGAGGAAATTGGGAAAAATTGGAATCACGATCACGATCACGAAACTATTTCCGAAGGAGAATATGCCATTAATGGGACGATCTTATTAAAAGGAGAGGATATTCTTAAAATGGGTGCCAACGATAACGAAATCTGCTTAAGAATATCCGATAATTTCGAGGATGTTAAATATATAACCTATGGGAGCGGCGATACCTACATATTTTCGAAATCTCCGGTCTCGGAACACGTGGAGCTTCCAGTAGTCAATGGTATTAATAATGTTTATCCATTTATATTTATAAAATAAGAAGATATTTTAAATTTATTACTAATGATAAGTTTTAATGTTTCTTCCTTTAATGTTATAAAAAAACACTAGTTTATTGTTTCTTCATATTCTACATTAGTTAATATAAAGTCTGGGAGATAACGACGTGCGAGGTATGTTCCTCAGAAATCTTACTGCACCCAGTTTAAATAATACTAAGTCGCATGATTTTTTGGCACTACATTGTTTGTTGATAAGTCTGGAAAGCTGGCCATAAAGCTAGTACACAAATATGATCAGACTGTATTTTTAGCTTATTTATTATAATTGAAAACCGTAGTTTCTTTTTTAAATATAATTAACAACATTCATATTTTCATTCATTACGAGATAGACGAAAATAGTGTGCCTACCTCGAAGCTCGCCGAAGCTAGATTTGAAAGTTCTCAGTCGCTACCTTCTAGTCCAGCCCATCTTATTGGTGCTGATAAATCGGCTGCCTGTGGGGACAATAATTACACCCCTCCTCCAAAAAGCAAAGATAAATTAATCGAGGATTTACCACCCTTATTTGATGCTAATGGTGATCATGATCATGACAAGGAGCCCTCTGAGAAGAATATAAGTATATAGTAAAAAAATTATTTTTTACAAAAAATAATTATTTAGTTTTAATATTAAAGAAAGAAAAAATGAAGAACGAAAGAAAGAAAAAAAACAGAAAGAAAATTCATTAAATATTATCTTTTTATTGTTTCTAATTTTTATTAAAAATATGTGATTTAATTTGAAGTTATTAAACTTGCCAAACAGGATAAATGTTCTTTCCATTCTCTTTTCTCTTACAATTTAAAAAAAAATAGCTTAATTTTTAAGTTCATATTTTTATGTTTATAAATGTATTACACATTAAAAAGTTATCACGAATCTCTTGCCACTTTCAATTCAATAATATGTTGAACCCGTTAACTAGAAGCATATCTTTTTTTGTCACATTAAATAAGCTTAAGAACTGGTATTTATTTCAGATTGATTAAGATATTATTTTGAATTTATATCATACATTGCTCATTTTCATATCTTGATATTGTCGCTAGATTCTGGCGAAAAGATCGCGGCCCTCAGAGCCAGTCTAGAAAGGCACCGCTTGCGATCCCGTTTACCCACTCCAAGCACCAATAACCATAATAATTCATCTTCCACGGTGAAGAAAAGATGTCTAGACACCTCTCATCAATCCACCGCTTCTTGCCTAACCCTCTGCACAGATTATTACGCGCCTCCTATACAAAATAAAACTAAAGCAGACCTCCCCCCAAAATCTTTCGATAAATGCAATAGTTTTGGTAACGGCGAAAATCTGAGCGTCACGAATAGCGAAAACGATAGCTATAACGCCAGTAGCAAAAACAGTCAGGACGAAATAATCAGAATGAACAATTCCGAAAACATTGATAATTCTTCCCTCGAATTTTCTAGGCAGATTAACGAAATCACAAAAAATTTTATAGACCAAAACAAGAGACTCGAAATGATGGCGGCCGCAGCCGTGGCTTCATCCACCCTAAGAAATAACCTGCATTTTTCTTCGACTATAAATGAAAAGGTTAAAGCAATCCTAGAGCCCACTTCGTCGATATCTCCCGTCTCATCAGGAAGAGAAAACGACTACTACGTTATCGAGAAGCGTGCCGCTAGAGACTTTCTAAACGTTTTCGCCACCAACAACAAACATTTTATCAGTCTAGATAATAAGCAAAGCAATGATAGTTTCCTTGAAAATGGTGAAAGTGATAACAAACCCGAATGCTCTTTCAAAGTGCCCATCGAGGAAGAACCTTTGTTGCTGAAAAGACTTTACCATCTGGACGGGTTCGATAAATGTCAAGTGGCTAGGTGTCTTAATAACATGTAAAGATTTTAAATTACTGTATTTTTGTGTGTTATAATTTTATATTTTTGGCGCTAGAAATATTTTGTGCATCTTTTACCGCTAGTTTTATTTTTTGTTTGAATTAGTGTTTTTTATCACCCTAATTTTCAGGATTTTTTTATGGATTCAGCTAGGAGTGTTGATTTAATATATTTTAATATTTATTGGCTATTTTAGTTTAGTTATGTTTTTTTATGAATATAGCGGATTCAAACCGGGCGGGTAAATAAGTCATTATTTTTACGGCAAATTCTTATTTTATATTCAGTGATATGCTAATATATTTTTTTTATGACCTTGACATTTAAAATGATTTGCTTACCTTTCACATAGTTACATTATATAATCAATCATTCATCTTTTCTTTATTTTTTGTTAAACTTTATGACCTTTATCATAATATGACTCCTTTATTATCAATCGTGTTTTATTAACTCGTTTCCTTATCTATTTTTCATTCATTCATGAAAGAAATTTAATATAAGCGATAAGAAAAAAGAAGTATGAATTTGAAAGAAAAAAAATGTTTTGTATAGAATGAAGGAGATCAACCCAAAGATTATTATATTAGATACTTAGAAAAGAAAATAGATTGACAGATCTCTTTGGAAATTTTTCTGGTATTAATAGACCTTTGTTGAGATAGCTAGTATTTTACCACTCATGCTACCTGGCAGTGGCGTAGCTACGGGGGTGGTTTTCGGGTTTGGACCCCTCCCAGAGCAAAAATTTATTTTTAGATTATACGTTCAAAAGACTTATAAGTGGTGACTTTATATTAAATAAAAACCAATAATATTTATATTTTTCTGGTTTTGATGTTTGTGGAAGGATATTATATTACTATTGAAATTATTCTGGATAGTATTATTATAAAGTCATTGAGAATAATCTACTAAATTATAAAACAAATTATTGATGCATTTAAAAAATTTATTTATTATATATTATCGAAGATATGGTTGATTTATAAGATAAACCTGGCCGAAGGCCGGGCAAAAGGGCCGAAGGCTCGTTAAAGGGGGTTTGGGGGGCGAAGCCCCCTAGGCTTTTATATGTATGGACCCCCTCTAAGGAAAATTCCTAGCTACGCCACTGCTACCTGGCAACTAGATGGGTAAATAGCTCCATACTGAAAAATTATAATTTTATTTAGAAGGACATATAACCCATATAATGTAGTTTTGATGAAATCGAGCGAATGAGATAAAAAATCATTTATTTATAGATGAATTGAAAATTTTTGAGATTTTACATTGCACTTTTGGAGCAACACCCTAATCAAAAATTGGGGCTTTTTCCATATCGAATATATACTATTCCCACTTACGGCTAAATATTTTAGCCAAAAATTTGCTAAGAGATGTCAGAAAAGTCTGAAAATCTATTAACAAAATCTTAAGGCTTGCCTGATATTATTTTAAAATAAAATCTTTATTTAAAATTGGCAAAATCGGGGCGTTTTACCTCACGAGCCTACAACAGGCCTTGGCCAAAGTGAGAATTCATTTTATTTAACTCAAAGCAATATGATGGGTGCAGGCGCGTACGCAGGAATTTGGTCTGGGGGGGGGATAATAAATTTTTTTAAGAAATAATATTTTTAATTAAAAATACTAAGCATAAATTTATTAGGATTAATAACTTTTCTAATACACAATTTTAAACTAATGTGAATTAAAAAAATTATATATATAAACCGGCATTTAAATGTGAATCATAAAATATAAAGTGAATATAACCCACGATATGAATCACCTAAATGACCCAAAATTGAAATTTGAATTTTTTGAGCTTTTAAAATATATAAAGTATAAAAAATTTAAATGTTGTAAATATAAATTAATACAGAAAAAGTTTCTTAGGAATAATTGTATTTTGTATGTTTTGAGCTAATTTTTCAATTATCAATCCTTGCTTGGCGTTAAATGTTTACGAATATTCAAAAGATCCAAATCATTCAATCTACTTTCAGATGTTGTATTTCATAGGTATATTTTTCACAGACTTTCAGGCCCGGCCCCTGAGCCGGACCGTATTTTAATTTTTTTAAATATACCCGGGCCGGGCTCGTAATTTTTTTATTTAAAAACACCACGGGCTGGGCCTGAAAATTTTTTAAGAAAAAATATCCGAGCCGAGTTGTATATTTTAAAACCAAATATTTGAAATCGCCATTATTAGCTATAAATATTAAAAATAAATATAATTTATTTTAAAAAATTCGGGCTAAGCCAGCCGGGCCGGGCCTGAAAATTTTTTTTAAAAAAAACCCGGGCCGGAAAAAATTTTAAAATAAAATCTGGGCCTGGTCCTGCAAATGGTACCTCTGCAAGGCTCTGTTATTCTTCTTAAAAAAGTGAATGTTCTCTCATTAGTTTACTAAAGAGCTGCTAATATATATATAACCATTTTAATAATTGGGAGTATAATCTAAAATGTGTTTGAAATAAAAAGCATCCATAGCATTTTTTGGGACTGTATCAACCATAGTTAATCTTTTAATCATAGTTATTCAGCTAATAAGGCATCATAAGATATTTTAACATCTTCATGATAAAAATATAACAAATATTTATATTTTTTTCTATCACCATATGAAAAAGGTTGGGAGAGGGGACATTTGTTTTATAATACTCTTCTACTGATCCTATATTAATGTTTTGATGATGAGCTTGCTTGCTGCAAGTCGAGGAGGACAAATATTTAACACGTATAGCTCTGCTTTTGACTCAACAATAACATATAAAATATGAAATTCTTCAACAACACTAGCTCTATTTCCTTGAGTTCTAATAAAATGCTCTCCGCTATTCTCATCTTCTTAATCAAGTCAATGTTATGTTTTTAAAAGTATTACATAAAATAGTTGTATAATTAAATAATACATTCTAATGAGAAAAAAAATTTGGAATAAGTATTGAATCCAATAATTTTCTTGCTTCTGAGGAAATATTTCTTTCAAGCCATTGTGATATTTCAGTAATAGCATTAATAATCAGCTCTTCTAACTCCAAAATAGCTGTTACTGTGGCGGAGACTCGATCTCGTTGGACAAGCTTGCAATTTTTTTCTCCCTGTTGGACAAGGAGTTTCAGAGATAATTATTATTTTATTAGAAATTTAGATAAATATTACGCCACTAAAATTTGAAAATAATAGGTAAATTACGCCAAGGAAAACTTGAAATCGAAATTGATTGATAAAATAACTTAGTAGATGAATGTGATAAATAAATGTAATTAAATATATATATATATATATATATATATATGTATATATGAGATAAGAATAAATATTAACAAATATAAATTAATATTAACAATAATATTTTTGAAAAATATAATCCGGCATCTGCATTTTTTGGCTTTGGGGGGATTTGGCCCCCTGCCCCCCCCCCGCTGCGTACGCGCCTGGATGGGTGCTATCCTCGGCGTTTTACACACTTATCCATTATCCTTAGCAGTTTTCGAGTCTCATCTCCTACAAATTCTCGTAGTTTATTAATAACTCATAAAAATTGTAATTAGTTTGGCTGACTTATTTAAAAAATATATATAAATAGCCATTTTCTACCATAGAGGAAATAATGTTTTTTTTACCACAGAATACCTTTAAAAATTGCAATATTTTTTTCTTCAACAAATCTTTTTTTTTAATTTTCTAAAAGAAAATTTATGGAAAAGAAGATTAGGGTCATGCTAACTTTATTTTTTTTATTTTTCTCCCCTAAAAACAAAATGAGAAGGAAATTTTTTTTAAAAGTATTAATTTGATTTATATATTAATATAATATTAGTCAAGAAAAAACAGATAATGGCATCGAAAGAATACTCTAAATCGAAACCATTCTCCCTTTTAATAACTTATGATATTTGCAAACGAGTAATAAAAAATTGAAATCTTTTGAAATCTTTGAATAATAATAAACAAATATAAATGCATAAAAATTTTATTACATTATATTGTGAACTTTTAGTTTTACGATATTCATTTTAGAATTTTCGATTTTATTTTGTAGATTATTTCAAAAAGAAAGAGAAAAGAAAAGTATTCCATTTAAATTCCATCTTAAAATCACTATTCTCACTATTATTAAATTCAAATTATTTGACTTTAATTTTTTTTCTTTTTTCGAAGTCTATTCCCCCCCCCCCCCTTCTCTATTTCCATATTTTACGCTCGCCATTTTTATCCTTTATTCACCCACAAAAGAATATACCCTCTATTATTGAAGCCATAATTTTATCTAAAATGCAATGCAATAGTAATTTTAGTTAAAACAAATTATTTGAGAATACGAATAACAAAATTATTAGATTTGGAAAAATAGAATACGAATAAGGAAATTGTTATTAGATTTGATCTTATTTTTATGGAATTTAAAAAACAAAGTTGGAATTAAATATTTTAATTTTTTTATGTAAATATGTCTGGTAAAGGTAGTTTTTTTTTGGGGGGGGGGGGGGAGGGGGGGGCATTTAATTTTTGTATTTCGATTTTTCATATTTTTATTATGCAAATATTTTATTTTGGATAAATTTTTAATTGAAAATTGTAAATCGTCTGTTTTACGCATATTCAAATTCAGTTTTATATATGAAAAATATTTAGTTTGTATCAGACATATAATAATACCTAGACTGACGATTTATTCATAATAAGCCACTTGAAAGCGTCGTTGAATGCAAATCAGCTGGACCCGCCATTGTTAATCATTATAGTAAATATTTTCATATTAAATACTATTAAATTGATAACTTGCTTCCTTATTATCTCGATGATCAGGCAATTCTTTAATAAAGTTTGCGTTGACTTCTCGCTTATTTTTAATAATGATATAGGTAATCAAAATGGCGTTCCTAGCTGTTTTTATTGATGTACACTTTTAATGAATGCATCGTAAGTCTGGGTATTATTATGTCATTGGTTTGTATCGAAAGGAGATATATTTTTTTATTTGTAACATAAATATTTATTTTTATATACATTTTAAATTTTAATAAAACAATTCATTCGATATAGTTAATTAATTGTGTAACTTAATTAGTTTCTCAATTTGGTACTACGAATTTTAAAAGAAATATACAATCTATCATATAATTTTTTCATCGTTTAATTTAAAATTATTTGTAAATATTCAAAATTGTGCATAAATATTTGAAATTATTTGTAAGTATTTAACATGTTCCTTGCGAAACTTTTTATTATATTTTTTTATACCTTATTTACACATCTATAAATCACGTTTTAAATTTTAATAATTTATTTTTAAAATCTTTTTTATGAATTTAATTTTCGAATTAAACATTCGACGAAATAACGTTTTTGTTATTCCCGCAAACACGAATAAATTTGATTGGTCAAAAAAGAAATTTAATTTGATTGAAATAAAAGGCCAGGTACATTATATCAATATGCCTATTTTAAAAATATTATATATGTACCTGTTTTGGTGAAACCAAGCATACATAAACTGATTACTTTAGAACTGACAAAAATATCTTCTAATTCCCTAGAATAAAACATCACGAATTATCTTATCACAACTTATTATAAAATAGCTTGCAAATAACTTCTCAACATATTTCCTTATTATTTTAGTATGTAAGTATACCTAAGGAAATGACCTCAGCCTCACTCACCATTTTATACTATGTTTATTCAATTGTTAATTTTTATAAATATTTTTCACTCCCTTTCTAAATGCATTTTAATTGCCTATTTTTTTAATATATATTTTTAAACCTATCCTATCTGATATCCTTATTTTAATTTTTTTTTAAACGTTTGTTTTTAAACATAAAAAAATTATAATTTTTATAAAATAAAATATTTATAAAAGCAATTAAAAATTTAAAAGTTTTAATTTTTCAATTAGTTTTTTTAGTGAAAATTTGATTTAGAACATTTTATTTTTTGATGTTCTTTAATAATAATAATATTATTATTTACGCTAATTGGTATATAAATCGTTATAATAAATAAAATGGTTCTGACGAATTTCCTCCAGGATGATAAAAGGTAAAAAAAAATTATGTTTGTTATTAAGATTTTAAATGAAGAATAGAACTTATATTTTAAATATGTAAGGCAGTTATATTTTTATGTTAGCGGACCAAAACAAAATATTTCGCACGCAATTATTTATTGCAATGCTGATATCACTCCGCCAGGCCTCCGAAAAAAGAATATATCGTCTGATCTATGATTTCGTATTTGTAAATTTAGAATAACGGATAATATTTGCACCCCACGTATTAAAGAATTTATTATGGTTAATAAAATATAATTAAAAAAAGTTGATCATTAAATCTTATAATCCCAACTTAACCTTATGATTAACATTTCGAAACGTTTAATTTAATATGAAGTTAAACAATTTCTATTATCCACCTTTTCATTTTCAGAAGATTGTGACTAATTTGGTAAATATTTATAAAAAAAATTTTCAATCTCAATTTTATAGTTTTTTTATTTTAACGAAATAAGACCTCATTTATAGTAAACGCTTTATGTTTAAGAGGTGCGTTATTTACATAATCAAGCCGACCGATTTATAAGTATAATTATAAATATATAGGAGAACGCTGCATTTATAGTTAGCGCGTTGAAAAACATGCTGCGACATATACTTTAAAAATTATTAACTCTAAGAAAAATCAGTAACGCTTTGAAATAGCGCGTTTACTATAAATGAGACTTTAGGATAAAAAATGGGAAAAGGTATAATATCCTTTCTGTATTTTGGAGCAATTCATTTTTGAATTCCTCTGATTTACAGTCAATTCTGGTGGAATCCATTATAAATTTATTTCATGTTCATAAAAAGCAGGGTTTAATTAAAATCCTCAAATGAGCATTTGAAAAAAAATTTTCGCCCATAATGATCAAAAATCTTTGAAGTTTTTTTTTAAAAAATGAAATAATTTGGGATTTATCATGAAATATTTTTTATGCATAAAATTTACAAACATCTTCCGAGATCAAAATCTTTGAAGATTTTTCCATTTTTGAGCAAATGTTAAACTCTGAAAAGTATACGTAAAAAAAAATTCCTAGATTATATAAAATGCGTAAATATTATATTATCATGAAGAATAACGATAACCTTTTTTTTAAAAAAAAAGGAGATAAATATTTTATTTCAACTTTACATTAAATTTATGATACTTATCTTGTCTATCACCTCACCTATAATATTCTACACAAGTTCATATAATTTTTATCCGTCCTTTCCATTTTATTACTAATTTATTTATTTGGGGCAAAATTTAAAAAAACTTGCAAAAATGGCCTAAAAATTTTAATTGCAATTTTTTTTCCCTCCCACTTATTTAAGGGTCGATAGCAACGAAAGACTGGTCGAGGAATACTTTAACGAATTTTCGTACGAAAAAATTCCGATAGACGCCGCTCTCCGCAATTTTTTTCTTCACGTGTCATTGGTGGGCGAAAATTGTGACCGAGAAAAAACTCTCAAAATATTTTCAAAATACTACTATCAATTCAATCCTAGCGATTTTATTTCCGAAGGTTTAAATCCTAAATTTAAAAAAAAACGATCAAATATCGAACTTTATATATCGGTTAAACAATCTTGAATGATATTTACGTTTCAGTCAGGTTGGGTGCTATTCTTCATATTGTTTTCATTATAAATTTAAATTTGTTGTATAATCTTTTTGCGTCATTATCTTAGGAAAAGTTATTTAACTGATATATTATAATTTTTGCTATCCACAAATATAGAAGGTAAAGAACTATTCAATTTTTTTGGGTTTGTGTCAATCTTATTTTTCATCTATCCGATTATTTAGATTGATTTTCTCAAAAATTAATTATTTAACATATGAGTAGACCTGTGCGCCGCCGGCTCACGCCGGCGCCGCCGGTATTTTTATTCACGCCGGAAAAGCCGCCGATTTTTATTATGACGGCGGCGCGGCGTGTGTAATTTTTAGAAAGCATATTAATTATATTTATATATTAAATTATTATTATTTTAATTTGAATACTAACATTAAATCTAATTTATAATTTGTTTCATTCCACCAGCCCTTATTATTTTGTGTTTTGTAAATATCTTTTTAAAGTATTATTTAATATATAATTTTTTAAAACTTTATTAGAAAGGTTAAACTAAATCAAATTTATAATTTGTTTCATTCCAGCTCTAATTATTTTGTTTCAATTTATTAAATTAATTATGTAAAGCTTTATTTTGAAAGTTAATACTATAACTAATTTAATTTGTTTCATTCTAGCCCTAACTATTTTAATGTTTTTATATATCTTTCTAATGTTTAAAATAAATATGAAATCTAATAAGGCGAAATTATGTTTTGATGTCTGCTTAGATTTAATGCCATTTGATTCTATAAACAATAAGGAATGACAGACTTTCTAAAGGTTTAAAATTTATATAAAATGATTATTAAAAAATAAATTGTTCAAAAATTAGAAATATAAGATAATTGATTCCTCGTCAGAATTGCCAAATAGGACAACCATTAGTCGGGATACACTAGACGATGTTTATTTATCTATGAAGGCGCATGTTTTAAATTTGATTGACTCTGGACCAAAATTTTGTTCTATCATTTTTGATTTGTGGACCGATCATTTCAAGCGTCGAAATTATATCACATTTAGTCTTCATCATTTAGATGAAAAAAATTTTGATTTAAAATATTTTACCCTCAACTAGAAATGTGACTCAAAAGCATACTGGGGAAACAATATTATCTGATATTGATAGTATTAAAGAGGAGTTCCATTTAAAACCAAAATAATACAAATAGTAACTGATGCTGGGGCCAATGTCAAAAGAAGCGTCAGATTAGGGGATTATGAGCATCATTTATGCTTAGGGCATGGACTTCATAATTTGGTTACAGTTGTTGACATAAAAAAGTTACCAAGATTGATATTCTCATTAAAATAATTAGAGAAATTATTTCAGCCCTTAGATATCGAGTAGCTGATTTGGAATGTGAAATTGAGGCTGAACATGGTAAATGTCTGCAGTCAATTTATGAGACAGGTAATATCTTGGATATTGATGATTCTGATCTATACCTTACCATTTTGATATGTCTGATGAATCGGATAATAGAAATGGCATTGCACCAACCAATCCAATTAATACAAAAACTTTAAAAATAAATTGCCCAACCCGCTAGCATAGCATATTAATTATGCTAGGAAGTTTTTGCATTGTAAACAAAATTCCTATAAATAATGTTCTAAATAAAATAGGAAAACAATCTTTTTAAAACTCTTTAATAATGAATAGGATATGATAGATGAGCTTTAAGTAAATCCATTCCGAGAGTCGGTGGAATTTCTTTCCTCCCAAAAAGGATCTACAATAAACTCAGGGTTATCATTTAGCAGTGAAATAGAAGCTCATATACAAATCAATAAATCTGATTGCTCAGATATAATATGCTTAAAAGAAAATATGAAAAAAAAGCTTGACCATAGGTTTCCGATCACTGAACTTCAAGTTATTTCATATTTTTATTAATTAAATTATATTCTAAACATTAGATATTTATAAATTAAATTCATTAAAAAATATATTGATTTATAAAATAAATTCATTAAAAAAAATTTTAAAATAAATATTGCGCCGCCGCCGCCGAAAATTTAGTAGGCGGCGGCGAAATCGGCGCGCCGCCGAACGCCGATAAAAAAATTTAAAAAAACCGCCGCCGTTGATTGAGACATCGGCGCACAGGTCTACATATGAGCAAGGAGTAATTTTTTAAATAGTTTAAATCCTTTTCTTGTAATAAATAATACAGGGATCCAAAATGAAAACGGTTTAGGGTCGGTTCGTAAAAAATAAAAATATCGGTTAGTGGTTCGGAAACTTTTGTATACAAAAATATTACATTTTTATTTGTTATTTATGTAATTATTGGATTCAATTTATCTTTAGGCATTATAAACCAAAAAATGTTGTAAAATGGCAATGTATAAAAGTTTATAAATATTGTGACTGACACTTATCCAACAAAATTGTTTAATAATAATTTTTTAAATAATTCGATATAAATGAGAATTTTAACGATAACGATATACTAGTAATAACATTCACCTTGTTTTATAAGCATTAAATCATGAGGCTCGAACCGATTCACACACATTGTAGCGGTTCAGGCTAAGGTTCGGTCAAGTTAGATGAAAAAAATAGCATTTTTAAGGTTCGGTTTGGATCCTTGAAATAATATCACATTTTTATTTTTAACTACTTCTTTCTTTTAAAAATAATAATATCAATCTTGTTTAAAACATTCATTATAAATAAATTCAATTTTTGTTCCTTTTATTCATTTATATTAGGAAGTTATAATAAAAAAAATATTATAATGATATGATCGAATCTGATTTTTGGAAATATCTGCCCGATCCAATTTTTTTCACTGTTTCCAATTATGATAAAAATTATTATGTTTATCCCTGAAAAATTTTATATTTCAAAAAAGCGAAATTAATATAGGTTATACTTTTATTCTTAAAGGGCGGATCATGGACAGAAATCTGGTCAAAATGACCCGGGCAAAAGTAACCCGATCTAAAAGAGATTAAAAATATCCCAATTTTAAACGCAATTGAGCATTTTTTCCCCTTTTTGGTGTCTTGGCATTGGGTATTTTTGTCTGGGGCACTTTTGTTCGGGTCTTTTTGGACATTTCTGTCCTTGATTCTTAAAAGACAAGGACGAAAACCCCCTTATGCTGCATAGTCTGAATTATCTAAAACACAATTACGAATTAAACATCTTATAATCATTTTTTGAATATTTAGCCTGTTTCAAAGCGTTAAACTATAAATTTGAAATTTTTTTTAAACAGCCCTCCCACAAATATAGGGAAAGTATTTTAAAAAATCATTAAATAATATAAAAGGAATATTTTTAAGAATTTTAAGATTGGAACTTTCCCTCTAGAATAGGAAACTTCAACTTGTAATTCGTAAAACCGTATAAAATCATCAAGAAAAATAAAAAAATTCTTCTGATATTATTTAATTTCATAATAATATAGTTATAAGTATTGCGTACACAATTACTAATAAAACTACCTCTATGTTTTTGAATATTTGACCGACCAATTCAAAATAAAGTTACTTTTTTGTGCAAATTTCATAAAATTTATTATATTATAAAAAAAATTAATATATTATTTTTAAAATATATATATTTATTAAATAATCAATATTTAGACTCTTTGCACATACTTGTTTGCGCCTTGGTTCTACTTAACACGGACTTTTATATTTGCGTAATATTTTAAAATATTTTTTATCAATTTTGAATTTTTTTGTAAGAATTTGGGTTTTTTCATCATGAAGAATTTTTATGCACAAGAATTATTAAAAATTTGGAATTTTAGGTTTGCTAAATATTTGCTTGAGTAAAAATACTGAGATCAAAATCGAACATTTAAAACTCTTTTTTATAAAATCAATCTGGAGTGTATTCAAATGTATATTAAGGAATTTACTGATTTTTTTAAATATCAGAATGGATCTGACTAATCTTTCATTTTTTTTAAAAAAAAATAATCGTTTTCGGCTTATATTTTTAAATTGGTCGATCAGATAAAAATATAAATGGCGAATGGAATTTTTTTTTTATGATTATTAATGTTAATATTTATATTAGAATATCGGAAAGAAAATGTCTTGCAAAGAATTCATAACGAATTTGACGTCCATGGGAACTTATGGAAAATCTTACAACAAAACGATGCTCAAGAAATTGTATCTTTCGATAAAGGAAAAACCACTTCAAGGGTTGGTTTTTAGTTATTTATTTTATTTTTTTTCAAATCATTTAAATTAGAAGACTTGTTATATTTTTTTTTCGGTCTTTTTTTGCGAATTTTGTCAGATTTATTTGTTTTATGATTAATAAATGTGAAAAATTATCAGATTAATTAAAATTTTCCAGGTAAAGAAGCTCTTAAATTGATTTTAACTATCCATTTTTTAAAACGATTTTAAGTAATTTGATTTTTTTTTAAATTTATATATATTCACAAATTTAGTGCAATTGATAAAAACGTCACCGTTGACAATAAAAGCGGCAAACCCGACAACAAATTTTTGGAACAAAATTCATATCTTACATTGGTAATCTGCATAATTTTAATTGAACGAAATTAAACGTTTTTAAAAATATAAATAAATAAAATGATTGTGGAAGATGATTATTTCCAATTTGAGCTTATTCTTTATTGAAAATGATATTTTTCCACATTCAGAAATTCCTGAATGTTTTTCTTTTATACAAATGAAACGCAAAACTCTCATTTTGGAAGCAACAAATATTATATCGTTAATTGTATAATATTTATTGAAAGGATTTTAAAATTTAGCTTATTATTTTGATCAAATACCTGCGTAAAGTGCCTATCGGTTTAATTGCCCCGGCCCGGATTTTGTAGTTTTTAATGTCTTGATTTAAATGTGATAAATAGACACAAAATTTATGTGTTAATGAATTATTTTATATTTTAATATCCATTAGCCTCCACCTTTTATGAAAGAGGACATAGCTATTAAACAAGGATTCCTACGTAGAAAATGTTGTAAAGAAGCCAACGGCAGAAAATGTAAATTTTAATACAGGGTTTTGTTTTTTTTTTTAAAAAAAGGAAATTAAATTATTTTTTCCCATAATTAGAAGTAATATGAGAAAGAAAGAAAGAGAAAAAAATTTACTGAAGACATTTAAATTTTTTTATAGTACTTTAGTTTTAATTGACGTCGTTTTATATTTTCAGCATCATTCATTCGGAGAAATTGGCGAACATTCTTCGCTACCTTGAGAGGTCGAATATTATATCTTAACAAGGTAAAAAAAAATTCCTGAATTTAAAATTAATGCATCAAATATACAATTGTATGTTAGCGTGTGCTCGTGTAGGCTTTGGCTGAGGCGTAATTTGGATTTTTTAAATTGTGGATTTTACAACGCAGTTCGAGTTTGTAATTTTTTTAGGTCATCTTGGTTTCTGAAAATTAACTTTAAGACCAGGGGTCTCTACTAATATTTTGTTAAAATTTAACAAATTTCATTTTAACCTTTATTTATTCTCTTTGTTTTATCAGTTTTACAAAATTATAACTATTAGGGCGGAATCTTGGGCGAGGATTCTTTTTTAGGCCACGACTATAACTCTATCCGTCTGCATCATGCTCTGGCCACTAAATCCTCCGAATACGTTAGGAAGCCTTTCGTTTTTCAGCTTCAGACCGCTGATTGGGCAATATACTTTTTTCAGGCCGGGTTTTAACATTTACTTATTCTTTATCATAGTCCTGCTATTATCCTTATAAGGATGACCAGAGACTTTAAACACCCATATTCCCAATCAGATTTCATATAAGTCACAATTTATCTTTAATGAACCTCCCCTTATTTTCTCGTTCTAAACAAGACATCTTAAGAAATTAGGTTAAAAACGAGAAAAGACTGTAAAATATTCACTATCAATCACAGAAAAATAAAATATTATAAATTATAAAAATTACAGGATATTAATATGCATTTACACTATGCAAATAGGGCGATGGTTTTTAAAGAATCCTAAACCTAGAATGAATTGAAAGAAAGATTTAAAGAAAGAAAATATCATAAATAAACACAATCATAGCCAATCCTACAATGTGTTACCTCTTTTAAATTTAAAATTACATTTTTTTTTATAAAAAAATCACATTAAATTAAAAGCAATCTTATTGATATGGAAAACTGGATCGAATCAAATATTCACTATCAATCACAGAAAAATAAAATATTATAAATTATAAAAATTACAGGATATTAATATGCATTTACACTATATGCAAATAGGGCGATGGTTTTTAAAGAATCCTAGACCTAGAATGAATTGAAAGAAAGATTTAAAGAAAGAAAATATTATAAATAAACACAATCATAATGTGTTACCTCTTTTAAATTTAAAATTACATTTTTTTTATAAAAAAAATCACATTAAATTAAAAGCAATCTTATTGATATGGAAAACTGGATCGAATCAATAAACTTAATTTCCGCGACTCTCTCCGCCTTACCCCTGCCTAGCCCTATCGAAAGCGGGCGAAATAAAAAATTTCACAAACCCCTTCTACCATCGTTACCTACTAAATATAATATGGTAAACCCTTTTACTAAGCAGTAAAGGAATAATAATTTTAAGTATTTCTTAGGCTCAAATTATGGGCCCCATGCGAGGATTTAACAGCTGATCTAGTTTATAAAATGCTGATGTCTATAAATTCAGGCATAAGCCTCTCTATCCTCTTATTTAATAATTAAAATTATATATGTTATCATTGTGTTTTTTCAGTCAATTTATTTTTCCGGCCTAAATCATTTTTTGAGCGCGTTTTTTTAAATTTTAAATCTGATTTACCGGAAATGTATTTTAAAATGTTTAGACCTACTCTGTAATTTTTAAAAAATTTTACGATAAACATTTGAATATTAAATGCTCTTCGTTTAAAATTTAGAGATTTTTCAATTGGCAATATAAATGATAAATTCCCAAAAGTTATGGACAAAATTGACTGACATTAAAATGGATATTCTAAGTATATTGGAATACATTTCCAAGAAAATCCTATTTTTATATTAAAAAATGCCCTCAAGAAAAAAGATTTAAAGTTTAAAAAAATGAAACATATATATACACTATAAACAAAAACAACACATGTATATTACAAATTAAGCTGGACCAACTGAAACAACACGAATATAAGGTAATCGAATTCGAACAAGAGCTTCAAATTCTGAGAGAAGCTCCACCCGCGCCCCAATGGAAAACTCGAGAAATCGTCCACTTTAAGGAGCGGGAAAATTATTATTTATATGAAGTTATAATTTACTTAGTATATTTATTAAACATTTTCAAAATACAATTTTAGTTTATTTCTTTCCTTCAGCCCGAACGCGGAGTTTGCCTTATATTTAATTTTTTGAAATCTGGGCTGGAACGATTTGTTTTATTATCTTGTTCTCAGGCTTCTCTGCTTTTCTTTCTGAAAGAAAGAAAGAATTATTATAATCATATATAATATTTATCTAGCCTAGAACCAAATTATGATTTTTTTAATTTAAAAAAACGAAAGTTGAAGCGTTACAAAACTTACGCCACTATCCTACAACGTAAATTGATGAAGAGAAGGGCTGACACCAGTTCCTCGACCCCTGTGGTTGTTTTAAAGGCGGACGGGAAAACTTCGTTACTAAGTATTATTGTATTTCTTAATATTACATTTATTACCTTTTCGAGATATTATATTATAAATTCATTCTTTGTATTTTCCCTTTTAAACACTACTATAATTTATCAATCACCTCGCTTTTTCGTTTTTATTCCAAATTTTCTTATCTATTTCACCATATTATACAAAAAAACTAAGAAAGTCCCCTATAAATTTATTTGATGATATTCTTAATAAATAAAGGTGAAAACAAGAGAAACGCTTTGGGGGATTCCTTTTCTAAACATTTGACTCCTTCCTCTCACTCAAGAATTTCCAATAACCAAGTCAATCATATTTCCAGTGTCAGGAATCTCAATGGATCATTAAAAGTTGATTTCCCATCTCCTAACTTAAAAAATTTATCTTCCTTAACAAATTCCTCAAATTTCGCCACGAGAACCCACTCAGATCGATACAGTTACAAAGCTGCCATTTATAAAACGGAAACCGAAAGAAATTATTTTTGAAATATCAAAAAGTATTTGAATTTTTATTATAGAACAATAACATTCTCCTTTTAGAAATAATTAATGTACAGTTCAGATGTAGTATTTTTTAATCGCGAAGAAATATGTTGTGCAATAAATCTATGCTTTTAAATAAATAAAGTATGAGAAGTTATATCTATTTAAATGATAATTTGCTATAATCATTTATAAATATTTTTTATGCTTATTTATATTTTGCTTTTTTACATATATTGTCTATTTCTTTTGATATACCACCGTTTTTATAAGCTATTTTAAAAAAAATATCCTCGATGTTATAGTAAGTATTATTGTACAATACAAATTGTTTTTCTATCAAAATTATCTAACTTAAAAGAATATCAAATCAAGCCATATAAAATAGGAATTATGGTTTAGTGCAATTCCCACCAGCAAAAATCAAGCAAATTTTACGTTTGTTATTAAATTTCCATAATGCCATGAAATCAAATATTATATATCATATTTGATAAAATAATTTATATAGGCGTATATAGCGCATTAATATGTTTATTTATTTCCTATATTATTGGGGAAAAAAGTTTAAAAATCAAGTTTATTTTAAAATATTTGATTTATAAAAATCAAAAAATGTTTATTAAATCATTTTCTATCATATTTTTATTGAATTCATTTTTCAATTAACATTGTAGATTAATCCATATAAATGATATATTTGATAGTGCAAAAAATTTTATATGGAATTATAACTTGACATAAAATAAAGAAATTGTAATAATACATTTGTAAATTATTACTTTTTGACAAAGTACATGTAATTTCAATTATTTTCATAGGCAGTGTTAGATTAACATACGAGTCATCATATTTATAATAAAAATAGTAATATCACTACTATAAGAATTATATATTTTTTATTTATTACAATTTTGTCATTCATTTAAAAATTATCAGAATTAGATGCCTGTAATGGGCAGTTTTTACCCCGCCCATTCTACGCACGGGCATAGGCGAAGTTTTTAAAAGATTTTACAGGTCTTTATTCATATCCTTCATTAAATCTTTTCAAATCCATTTCCATCATCTATCCCAATTGTTTTAAAGTATAAGATATCAAATTTTATATGAGTTTTACATAACGACTATCATTTCATTTAGTCATAACAACATGCTATATAGCCTCATCTATATCATTAATAAACCCTGGCAATAAAAAAAATATTATTCAATTAAAGTCATTTAGATACCATGAGTTTAAATAAAAGATGCGCCATAACTGCCAGGTCACGATATTTAAAATTACTTTTTGTTTCAACCAGATCCGTGCTTATTTTTTATGAACAAATATATATTTACTTTATTCAAGGTTTAAAAGATTTCGGGTCGGCTAAGAACAAAATAAATATTGCAAAAATTGCTGGCGGACCGCCCCGAGATATGTGGTTAAATTAAATGGAAAAACTAATAAATAAAGCAAAGTATTAGTTGCATCTTACGAATACCTTTTTATAAATATAAAATAAAAAAAACAGATAATTATAGGGATCTTCGTTCAAATATATTGAGTGATTAAGAGCAATCAGTTAATATTAAAATGAACCTGATAGAAATTCAGGTAATTAATGTGCTATAATTCCTATTTAATATGAATAGCTAGTTTTCTTTGGGTACCCTTAATTCCAATCCTCTACGGTCTTCTATCATATACCATGTCCGCTTTAGGTTTAGGCTCAGTAAATCTTTGACTATTATATATTTCCATCTTTTATTTAGACACCTTTTACGCTTCTCCAACTCGCTATTTCTATTCCAATATATCTCAACTCTCCCCTTTCCACATGACCAAACCAGCGTAATCTACTTTCCTTCATCTTAGTTTTAGCAACGTTCCCCTAATGACTATTCCTCACTTGCTTCTTAGATTTACCAACATCTATCTAAACTTTCTTATTTATGTTATACCCCCTAACATTTTCCTCTAATTTTTGTGCACCTCAGCATTCATCTCCATACAATGAAACCAGTCTAATCACTACGTATATCTTCTCTTAACATTTACTCTTCTACTTTTATTTTATAGAACTCAGCTCATAACTCTTCCCTTTCTCCAGGCAATCTTAATTCTTCTAGGTAAATCTCATCGACCCTACTGAAAAATCAATTCCTTCCAGTTTTCAATCACCTATTTTCAGATAACGTTCTACTTTATACAACGGATTAGATTTATACATATAAGTTGTTTTATTTCAACATACCCTTATTTCAAATTTCTTCACCCCTTTCGTGAACTTTTCAAGCCTCCCCCTTTTTTTAAATTAATACCACATAATAATACATCATCCACAAATGTTACTTACCTTAGATTTACAAAATTCAGGTTTACAGTTATTATATTAACTAGATAGACGAATGGGCTTAAATCTGGCCCTCGATGTAACCAGATATTAACTTTCAGACCGTTCCGCCACTATTGTTATAGTTTCATTATTATTGTAGCTGATTGATTGTATATCATGTATCATTGAAGGCATCATCACAAATTTGAATACCTCTTACTTTAATATGAAAATAGGCATCTGAGAGATCCAATATTGAAAATTCCTCTCCTTTTCCCAAAGTGGCTAATAAATCTTGGATTCTTGGTATTGGATATGAATAAATATTAATATTTTGATTTATAGTTCTTTTAAAATACCCGCAAATTCTTAATGTTTTATCTTTCTTTTGAACAATTACTATGGGTGATGCATAAAGTGAATGATTAATTTTTTCTAGTACTCCTATTTTTTGTAATCTACTAAATCTTCTTCAACTTTATCTTTTAATGCGTATGGTACGGGACGTGATTTACAGAAAATTGGTTTCTCGTTTTTCATATATATATTTGTGCCTTATAATCTTTCAAGCAACCTAATTCTTTGGTAAATAATTGAGGAAATTTATTTTGTATATTAATATTATTTATTTGCATGGTCCTTTCAGGTAATTCAGTCATTTTTGGAAATTTAATTATTTAATTTCTTTCCATTAGATTTTTGGTATATCCTTTTGTAATTATGAGAGATAGTTCTAATGTTCGCCCTTTATATTGTACTTTTACTACAGTCTGACCTAATAGTGGTATATTGGTTCCTGTATAACTTTTAAGTTTTAACATGCAATTTGTTAATTCAGGATGATTAAGTTTATTTTTCCAATCTATTTCGTTAATTATACTGACCCCATCTCCAGTATCCAATTCCATTCTTATATCGCTGTTGTTTATTTTGACATCCACCCAAAATTCTGGATTATATTCGTTTGTTTTATTATTAATAAAATTCACTATTTCTTTTCTATAGACTCGAGCAATGTGCTTTATTTTGTTGTATTTATAACAAGTGGCATTCTTGAAAAGACAATTTTTCCTTCTGTGGTTTCCGCCGCAGGAGTGGCATGGATTTGGTTTTTTGTAGCTCGAATTATAATTATTATATGATTTTGATTGTTTATCATTATCATTATTAACTTTTTTAATTTTATTTATATTATCATTAGGTTCCTCTTCAATGATCGATTTAAGTTTCATCATTTTGTATTAATTTTGTATTTTTTATTGCTGTTTCTATTGCAGTAGCTATCTGAATAGCTTTATTTATGTCTATATCGTCTTCGGATAGTAATCTTTGCAAAATATTTGGAATTTTTATTCCGAATATAAATTTATCTCTTAATGCAGTATTTAAATATTCCCCAAAATCACAAGTCGTTGCTAGTTTTCGTAGATTTTGTATATAGTCTATTAGTTTTTCATCATTTTGTTGATTATATTGATAAAAATTATATCTCTCTACTATTATATTAGGTTTAGAATGAAAATGCTTGATAAAAATATTATGTATTTCTAATACCTCTTTGTTTCCTGGACTATCAGGTGCACATAAATTTACCAGTATTTTGTAAGTATCACACCCTATTGTTGTTAATAACAGAGATTTTTCTTGTGATGATGTTAAACTAGGTTGTGTGTTTTTAAATTCTTGAAATAAGTTGCAACAATCTTTGTAACACAGATTTGAATCCGTTCGACTTTTTATAGACTGCGCCATTTGTAATGTATTTTTCTTATTCTTTTACTTTCGAATTCATCTTTTATTATTCAAATTAATCTCCAAATATATAATAATAATAAAATAAACATTTTACAAAAAATTACAAAAAACAACAATTTAATACACATCACCAATGACGGTTTTAACCGCGCTCATAGCAGACTATTCGAAGTCCATGTATATATATAATGGATCAGGAAATAAATCTTTTTCTTGACATTTAGACAGTAATATTTCGAATATTTTTTCATAAATATATTGTTTTTTTTGAGTACACAATAAACAGCGGTGATAAAAATATTGTTTATTGTTACTTTAATGATAGGGCTATAATTGATAGAAAATATTTGGGTCGGATCGATGGCAAAATTTGGCGTCATCCATAATACCGATGCTGTTCGATATTTGATATAAAATAAAGATAAAGATTTAAAATGACTTAAAGCTAAAAATGGGAAGAACAATATAAATTGAGAAAAAAGTTTAAGTAATGAAACTTTGACAAGAAAATTTTTTTATAAAAATAACGATTTCCCTTTTTTTGAATGGGAATTTTCCAGGGGTTTTTTACGGGAGTTTCTATTTTCCGGGGTTTTTTTTCCTATTACCTAAATAAATATGTACCGATGACACCACATAGGGAATATTATGGCATAGCAATGACATAGATATATGCAAAAAATTTTAATATAGATATAGATATTGAACATTTAAAATTTTATTTATTTTAAATTACCATAATTGATATTATCAATTTTATTTATGTTAATTTTTTTATAATAAAAATTATCTTCGATATGGTTTATAAAGTTATAAAAATGCATTTTTATAAAGATGAAGGTAATTGTGTGCAAAATTAATTTTAGTCTTACTAGTAGTTTTATTTTAAGTAATTATTGACTTAACAGTAAATGGAAGTTTTTTTTAACGAAATGGGCAAAACGTAAATTGGTTTTATCTATAATCATTTCGTATTACTTGAAAATTCGCAAATAAAATTGAAATTCCTGAATCCCCGCTCCTTTCTTCCCAAAAATGAATGCACGTAATATAATAATTTTTTCAAATATAACCTGGTCAAAGGTTTATAAAAAGTGAAAAAGTCCTGTAATCAATTTTGCGTATAAAACACTTCGCCACTTAAGAATAATTTGGATACAATTATATTATGTCATAAACCTATATAATAAGAAATATCTTTTACAATTTTTGTATGAGATTTAGAAATTCTATATTTTTTAAAAAAAAGTTGAATACAAAACTAGTAATAAATTTGTTTAATAATTTTAAATAATATATAAATGAGTGAGCCATAAAAAAAATAATAAGACGTGAGTCCAAGACTCAAGTTCAGAAGTCATGTCTCGACTTGAGTATTAAAATTGAGTCGACTAGTCCCAAAACTTGACTTGAGTTCCGACTAAGCCGACTCGCCTGAGCTATTTAACAATATAACTTATACTTATTAGAAGTCGCCACAGGTTAATCCAAACCGACGGAAATTTTTTATAGAATTAACATAATGATTTTAACAAATTTCCCGGCTTGTAATATTTTAATTTTGAAAACAACATAAATTTATTCTCGAACCGATGGAATTTTTTTATAGAATGAACATAGTTGAGC